CAGGTCAGCTGTGGAATAAAAAGAGCTGCTAAAAGTATAAACAACTGTGTTAAATCATTTTCATTTATTCAGAAGACACACCATCGCGCACCGTATGCCCCCCACCCGTGTGCGCGCGGTCTCAAATGGTCTTAGTTGCGGTTCTGAAATAAGCATTTTAAAATGTTTTCAAAATATACACTATTCAAAGGTTAGATTGCACAAGATTTACCCCTCTGTCTCTCCAATGTGTGACAGGTGTAACATGTCTGAAGGCACACTGTCTCATGCTTTTTGGTCTTGTCCTTCACTAACTGGTCTTTGGTCAAAAATATTTGATTGGTACTCCAAGGCATATAAGACTCTCTTACAACCTGAACCAGGATTTATAATCTTCGGATGCCCTCTGGTGCCGGGGACTATACCTGCTGTAATGCGGCAGCCACTTGAACTGGGACTGATTGTTGCCAAGAGACTGATCCTAAGAAACTGGAGGTCCTCTGTTCCTCCTTCCTTCCACCTGTGGGTGACGGACATGCTGTCCATGATACAGATGGAGAGACTTCGGAAAGGCTCTAAAGACACTTTCACATGTTACTGGACTCCCTTCCTGGAACACTTTTCGAAGACCAGACTAAGCTGATCAAACCCTTCTATGGTCTCTCCCCTCAGTCGCCCTCCTGTGTATGTGRACCCTTGTATGCGACTATGTATATGTGCTGTGTGGGTATATATGTCAACTGCAATGTTTTATGCTTTGACCTGTGCATCTGGGCCTTGTTTTGTCTGTTTAATTGTATGTTCTAAACTTTGAAAACTTAAAATAAAATTTATAAAAAAATGTTTTCAAAATATGTCTGGCACTTTGGAGAAAATCCAGGAGTCGCTGGAGGGATTATGTATCCCCTCTGTCCTGGGAACGTCTCAGAGCAGGACGAGCTGGAAGGTGTCGCTGGGGAGAGCGGGGTCTTTCTGCTGCTGCCCCACGCGACCCGATGGACAATTTATATTGTTAGTCTAAATTATTACATTTAAAATTATAACTCTAATTCAAGCAGAATAACCTATTGTCAACATAATTATGGAGTGTAATTTATTTTCAACTCAAAATATCTTCAAACCAACAAACTATAAAGTTATTAGTGAAGAAAACCCGTCTGGATAACAGCAGACTGACTGTACGTAAAATATACGACAGGTCTGGAC